ACTGACAATTTCTCCATTGCCCCTTCTCCATTGTTGATCTCGATCCTGCTAGTGTTATCATAATCTCTACATAATGTCACCACCACTCCTTACCCATTTATCCAAAACTCACCAAACAACCACCACCAAAATTACATAAAACAATAATAAAAATAGTAAGCTTCATTCTTACTAAGGAAGGCACACAAGAAAAAATAACAAAAAAGATAATAATTAATAACCAAAAACAACAAGAAGCAAGAAATAGTCAAATAGAGGTTAATAGGTTTCTACTTTGGAAAGATCTAAAGAGGTTTCGGGACTTTTAATGGGTAAAAAGAAGGAATAGGTGAAAGAAAGAAATATATTAGAAGGTTATTCTATTTGGAACAACGACGATCGACATTTTAAGAAGCAAGAAAATAGCCAAACAAAGGTTAGTGAGTTTCAACTTTAGGAAGATCTAGGGGCTTTTGGGACTTCTAACTAGATAAAGTGAAAAAATAGGTGAAGGGAAGAATATATTGGAAGGCTATTCTATTTGGAGTGGCAAAGACTAGTGTCTTAAGGGTGTTTGGGTCACGATTTTGTTTATAGATCTAGGATTTTAGGGATAGATTTTAGGAAATTTAAGGTTGGAATGGTTAAAAAAAGGTTGAGGTGAAGTTATGGTGAATTTTTTGACTGAAAAAGAGCCTGGCATCGATAGTGGATGGCAGTTGACATGGTGATTCTTGGCAACCAAAATCATCTAAAGAGGGATGGTCTAACTTTAGTGAGAGAAAAGAAGTTTAAAAGTGAGATTACAAGAAAAGATTTTAGAATGACACCAATAGTGCATATAGGAATTAATTATAAATAATGCAACAATTTGATTTCATGTTAGACTATTGGTATAAAATTTTGAGTTTCTATGTAAAAGTCTGACATTGAAAAGTCTAAAGATCCATTTGGTAACCAAAAATGAACTTCTAGAAAAAAATATTTTCAGTGAAAATTAACTTTTAGAAACGAAAATGCTTTTAGTTGTTTGGTAAACTTATTAGAAATTATTTTCTTTTGTTTGGCATTTAGTGAAAAATACAAAAAAATTTGTAGCTTCACATCTAAAATTCCACAATCCAGTTTTAGTTACCCAAATATGACATTCACAACTGAGCAATATGAAAAAAAAAAAAAACCATTCATCTTTTACAATTTTACAAAAAAAATCCCACCTTTCAGAACTTTAAAAAAAAAAAATCACTCATTATCCTTTTTAAAGAAGTCAATAAATATTGAATAAAATGGAAACCTAGTTGAAGAAAGGCAACATTTATGGTGATAACAACTTAAATAGGCTTTGGTCAATAACCCAATTAAAAGAGACATAAAGGTTGTTCACAGAGAGAAAAGACTACAAGCGTGTTTGTGGGTCTTAGGCAACTTTAGCCATGGCTATTAGAGAAAGGGATTTGCAAAGGTGTTCATGGATCAATAAATTTAGTGTCATTTTCTTTTTTAGTGGCTACCTGTGATGGAAATTTGCAAGTCTCATAGGTAAGGCAACTATAAAAATGAATAAAAAAAAGATAATTCGATAGCAAATCCATGTTGGGCTACCTTCTTGCTTCAATAATGGTTAAATCTAAGTCACTTTGAAGGTAAAAGTGAAGAATCAAGAGATATTTGCAGGTTTAATGGTGGCTAGTGATGATAATGGGTTGGGGTCTAAAATGGGTTTACGAATTTGTTAGTAGAAATTAGGAGCAATGGTGTTTTGTGGTTGTTTTGAAAATTATCTTCTGTTGTAAAGAAATAAAAGATAATTTTTGCATGAGATGCTTTTTTTTCATTGACGTAAAATTAATTTCTATTGACCAAATTATTTTTTTCATTCCATACACCGAAAACACATGGAAATTGATTTTTAGAAATGATTTTCATGATTACCAAATAGAGTCTAAGTATAAGTTGATTTTTTATTATTAAAAAACAAAAATCAATGAAGTTAAAACCAAATGATTATAATATGTTCAAATATGGGATCTACAAACTATTTCATTAACCAAAGTCATAATTGAAACTGATTCATTTAGGTTTTGTTGGGTAGGAATGAAGGATAGAGGTGATGATGAAAAACTTGTTGATTTAATAGTTAAATTCATAACAACTTTCCTATTTTGTAGTCTAACAATTAGATTAATAAATTTTTTATTCTCATCTTTTTCCATTCTTCCAACCAAGTAAAGCCTTAAAGTTGTATGTATTTTTTTACTAAAACTCTTACTTGAGAGTGGATAAAAGAGGATTCGGATATGCTATTTGATATAAGAAAATTATACGTTGTTTATTTATGAGTCAAATGTTTGAAAAATTTTTTGGTAAAACTTACAACAAAGGATTTCAATTTATATTTCAATGAAGAAAACAAAAAAAAAAATCTATAATTTCTTTATTTCTTCTTTGAGTAAAAAAAAAACCCATAGGAATCAATATAAATTATTTTTTTAATTGTTATTTATCAAGATAAAAATATTGTAGTGTTAGGAGTACTCCATAATGAATTCAAATGTGATTTTAATATAGATTTTCTTAAAAAAAAGTTAATATAAAATAAAAATATAAAAATTCAAGAGAAAAAAAAGAAATCCATGATTAATTAGAATTTAATTTCGATCAAATTTATGTCCTAATCCAACAAATTTTATGCCTTTATCAATCTATTTATTTATCTAATTATTTTTGGTCCTATATCACACCCCATGAACTTTTTTTTTTCATTTTTTTCTATTTTCTTTTTGTTTTTCAATTTGTTCTTTTTTCATATTTAATAAGTAATTTTTTTTTCAAATTTTATGTGAGATCCATTTGATATTTTTATTACTTTTTATTTTTCTTGTCTTTTTTAAAATAGATAATTTTACAAGAAAAATATAATAATTGAGGTGTCAATATGGCTCTTGAATTTTTTTCTTTTTTGGTACAATTTTATTTTTTTAAGATCTATACATTAAATTTTTTAAGAAAAAGATATTAATGAAGGTGTTTACATGGCATCTCATTTGGCTTCCTTTTCTGTCTTCCTTTTTTTTTTTTTTTGCCATTGCCTTTTTTAAGATTTTTAGGATTTTTTAAATTAGATAAATTTTGTAAAAAATAGTATGAATTTTGTAAAAAATAGTAAATGCCTAATTTATGACTAAATGTTTGAGGTGTAGCCCAATTCATGACTGAATTATTATTTTATTCGAATAAATATCAAACGTTATTGATTTGAGACAATTTAAGACTTTTTAGATGAAAAAAATGACATGGAACACACGCACTGTTATCTCACATAATATAATGAATTATTATTATTAAGGTGACTTTTTGCTTACCTAATAAACACATTTGAAGTGAAAAAAATAAAATAATATTAAAAATATGAATTATGCTCATAACGTTGTTTTTTTTCTCATAAAAAACTAAAAATAAGTCTCCAATTTACCTTCAATAATTTTTTTTAGTAAATTATAAATTTCAAACTGGTGAACACAGTCATAGTATAAGTAGCTCATTGTGAAAGAATTAATGAAGAAAACAAAAGGCCATCCAAAAATTTCAAACAAAAACTCGTTCAAAATCAAATTACATGTGAAATATTTTCAAATTTCAACACTCATAAAAGAGATTTATCACCAATTAAAGAAAAACCTAATAAAAAAAATGACTAACATGTTCTACTGATGAAGCTAGAGCAAATCCTTCAACGACAAACTAAGGATTGTCAGGTGTTTATTAGGTCAAACTAAGATCAAGCTAAGATTGGGTGCTTATACTAAAAACATCAGCCATTTTTCCCTATCAATCAGTGGACTCTTTCATGAAAACTTAACCTCCCTTTTCTCATTTTGAGCTATCAACATAATCTCTACTAGCAAACAACCACAAAAAAAGGCCAACAAATAAAAACAACCCAAATGAAAAAAAAGAACCAAAATCCTATTCAAAAATCATTCTAAAATTCAACTTGTGATAAGAAAATGAAAATAGTTTTTTTATTTACTAAAAATGAAATTGGATTTTCAAGATTAAGGTTGTAGTAACTTCGATAAAATCTTTTATTTTCTTTCAAACCCATCATTTACTCCCCTCCATTATTCACACCAAGATTCAAACTCAAATTAGTCATTTCACTATTGATTCTCATCTCATGCTATTATCATGGATGCTATAAATAACCTACACTAAAAATTATTAATGCAAAATTTTATTAGACAAATTTCGACTTGTTCCAATCCAATAAAAGTGATTTTGTTAAATTAAGATTGGGTTAGAGGCAGATTTAAAGTGCTTTATTTGGGATTATATATAAAAATATATTTTATTATTTATTAAATTTTATATTTATATATGTATTATATTAATAAATTTGAAATAGTTGATTTGTAGTTAACCGTTTTAGTCTAAATTTTTTTAGGAGATTTAGGTTTTTTTTTTTTTGGCAGCAAAATTTGGACCTTTTGTTCGAAATAGTTTATAATTTTATTTTTTAATAATAAAAATATTTTTATTTATACTATTAGTTTATATTATAAAAAGAAAATAAATGAAGGCAGAAAACTAAGATTTTTATAAACATAAAACTAAGATTTTTAATTAAAATTGAATAATACATTTGTAATATTTTTTATTTTATACGTGATATACTTATTGTAAAAAAAATTGTAATGTATGAAAATTATATTCATGTATAACTTTTTTTTAGTTTAATTTTTGAAAGATGAAAATTGAAAACTAATTTTTGATAAGGACATAAACATATTTATCATTAAATGAAATGATTAAATACTTATTTCATCTTTTAAATTACATTTTTTATTAAAATAAATTATTAAGAAATTTAATTAATGATATTAACTAAAATATATAAAATATAAATATTTTTAAAAATTAATATATCTAAATAAAAAATTTATCCCACAAGAAAGTGCAGACAAAATTTCTACTTTTTATTTTAATCTCCTGTGGTTCAGTCTTGAACAATTGTTGCCGCTAAATTTATTTTGAAGTCAATTGAGCGCCTGACCGGATCCTCCCCTATTCCGTGTACGGAAAATCAAAAAAAAAGAAAAGACAAGGAACCGAAGACAGGAAGAATACAGCGATAAGTCGTCCATATTGATGTTGATATTAAACATTGGGCCTTAACTATTGGATAATGAATTGGGCTCAGCAATCCTAATCATTCATGTGATAAGAAGTAGACTAGAACCGGAGAAAGTCAGAAACATACGGAAACCCTATCTAAACCCCCTGCCCTCAGCTTCTAATTTCTTCTTATTCTTCTTCTCGTTATATAGAATATAGGTTTCAAAGTCGAGGAATAGATAGAGAGAAAATGCCTCTAGGAGAAAGAGGAGGATGGGATAAGAGCGAGTCCAGGTACTGTGGGGTGGAGACTGAATTCGATGATGACGTCCCTCGCCTTTTGTCTTTCAATCTCTCCTCTGGCGGCTTTGATTTTGTTGTGGCTCCTTTGGTTAGTGCCTTACTTTTGCTCTTCCTTTGTTGTGGCGCCTTTTGTCTTTTGTTTACTTTATGTATTTTCTAGCTGCACTTATCTTCCTACCACTTCTTTGCATAGATGGATCCTACTTACAGACCAAGCTTGATGGAAGTAGACAGTGATAGCTCTCATGTTCTGCCATTTGCTGGGTCGGACTTAGTTCTGAGTCCTTCCCAGTGGAGCAGTCATGTAGTCGGTATGATCTTTTACTGGCTTCCATTATTTTAATCATGTCATTCTGAACACTTTGTGACTTAAGTTTTATTGCAAAAAGATTGGGGTGTAGGAAAGACATTGGGTACTTAAGCAATCACTGATAGTGAATCCCTAGATCAAAGTAAAACAGACTTGTTATTTTAAGTTGGAAGAAGGTCTGTAATTAAGCTGAAACTTTGATAGTTACTATCTGTTTTGTATACCATTTTATGGTTGCTTCTATAAAGTGAATAATGGTACTCGAGTAACATTTTGTCCTTGCAAGGATTTTAGATTCACTTTTTTCAGATGCTAGTGATTGGATGTTTACATCAATCTGGGCTTGTTCAATGAAAGTCTTGAAATTGATTTAAATGCCCTCAACCGCTTCCTGAAATTGTCCAGGAAAAATCAGCCCGTGGATTGACTTAGATTCGGAGGATGAGATCCTTCGGATGGATTCTGAGACTACTTTGAAGCAAGAAATAGCATGGGCCACTCATCTATCCCTACAGGTGCACATATTTGTAGTAAGCTTTTTTTTTTTTTTTTGTGTTGCAAGGTTTTGCTTTCACAGAAGAGCAGAAAGCTTTGTATTCTTTGTTTCTGATGTTCAATAGTCAAAGAGTGGTTTGATGTTTTTATTGTGGAACCAAACTTCACAATGTGATGAATCCTGGATTGACCTTATTTCTCAAGAAGAACTATCCAGTATTAGTATTCAATTTGAAATCACAATTCTACAGTTTGATTTCCCCCCCTTTTTTTTTGGCTTAATAGGTATTAGACTCTACAGTTGGGTTAAAATGCAACAAACATTGTGGATCTTATAAAGTTTTCATGGTCTATGTACCTCCCTGAAAGGTTGCTTTGCTTTTACATTTGTAAAAGCCCAAAGGCATGGGTTATCCATATGTACGCCCAAATTAAATCACCATTTATCATTGGTTCTTTTGGATTAATTAAAAGTTTTTACGAGGAAAATAAAACGAAACTAACGTGGAATTGACTAGAATTGAATGCTTTAATTGGATCTTCTTAAAATTTGTGCTATATATACTAATGGCTCTGGTGGGGCATTAATAGTAGAATAAATGACTATTTTTGTTTTTACTGTTGTGGCATACCTCTCCTTTTTCATTCATTTATTTGGTGATGTATCAATTATTTGTAAGCCTAATATTAATGTTTTATAACAAAAAGTACAACTAAATAGGTTATAAGATGTTGGGGTTCATCTTGATGGTTGCAAAATGTATGACGACATGTCGTATGTACAGTGGTCCTTGAAAGAAATTTTTACTGCTTTGATTGGCAGCTTATACTATTCCATTTTATTATCTGTTGTAGGCATGCCTTCTTCCTTCTCCTAAGGGATCTTCATGCGCTAATTATGCTAGATGTGTGAATCAGATTTTGCAGGGCCTAAGCAATATGCAGGTGCCTTTCTTTATCTGGATATATAGTCAGAACCAATTTAATTTTTTGCATCCTGTTCTAATTACTGTTTCTTCTTTTAATGTTTCCTCACTTAAGCTTTGGCTAAGGATTCCACTGTTAAAATCTGATGATGATTCATTGGATGTAGATTCTGATAATTTGGTGAGTGAATTCTCCACTCCTTGTGCTGGTTTCTTACCCTTGATGAACTGGATCCATCTATGCTGCTATTCTCTCTTTGCTATGTTCTATGTGTCTTAATATATAATGTGTCTGAGAAAAAAATTTTCAGTTTTGTTCTATTGTCTACACATACCTTCAAGTTCTATAGATTTCTTAGAGTTATTTTTAACTAAGTCAGCAGGGTTAGAAAGAAGTGAGTATAATATGCTTGCTTTAAATTGTTACCTTTTTTTTTTCTTTCTATACAGATGGATTCTTGGGAACTCTGGAATTCATTTCGACTAATCTGTGAACACCATAGTCAACTTTCCCTTGCCCTTGATATTCTGTGAGTTACTGTGATCAGTTATATTTTTATTGTGTGACCAGAATTATAAAATAAAACATTGTTCTAATAATGATTGGTTATTCTCTAGGAGTACGCTGCCTTCTGCAAACTCAACTGGACGGTGGTTTGGAGAGCCTGTTAGAGCAGCCATAATACATACTAATGTAAGTATGTCATGAGGCTTTATTTACTATTTTTTCTTTTTTTTTTTTGTGAAGAGGAGCTAAGTTCTGACTCCACCTTCTCATAAGAGTGAAGCTTGTCTTGAGATTTTATTTAGTTTTAGTGCAGATTACTCTTTGTTCCCTGGATTTTAATTTACTACTGTTTGCCAGTCTTTCCTGACAAATGCACGAGGTTACCCATGCCTGTCAAAGCGCCACCAGAAGCTAATCAGTGGGTTTTTTAACCATTCTGTACAGGTATGAGAACCAGGTGCAAACTTATTTGGTTCTTGTCATTTAACAATTTTTAGAATTTCCTGTGAGTTCAATGTGTTATCTGCTGCAATATTTAGATTTTATGTTTTTTATTTTTTGAAAATTCACCTATCATTTTTTTGGGTAATGTCTTGAAAGATGGTTATTTCTGGAAAGCCTGTACATGGTATTCCTGGAGCAACCATAGGTTCAGTGGCTAATCATATTGATGAAAATGTGAACAGTAAGTCCTCAGCTTCTTTCAATTGGCATGACTTGCCGAGTGATAGGTGAGTCTATTGTTGAATTACTTCGCTTTGCATCTTACATGTATGCAGGTGGGCAAAGACATCCTCTCAGGTCATATTTGGATTATGTGGGTTATCTTTATCAAAGGATGGACCCACTCTCTGAACAAGAACGGATTGAGGTCTCTTTCTTTCTTTTTCTGAACAAACATTAAGATGAGTTAATTTTGTGCTATTTTGTTCTAACTATTTCATTCTCATATGTCAGCTTGGTTATAGGGATTTTTTACAGGCTCCATTGCAAGTGAGTTTTCTTTGCATAGTGTTCTCTTCTGATTTGTGAATCTTTCCTTTGAGTTTGCATATATTATTTCTTTACTATTTCTGCTGAGAGAAATGCTAAAGTGCCTGGCTGTCTACTACTCACAAGAAAAAACTGCCTGTAAGAAATGAATGCTAAAGTGTCTGACAGTCGGAATGTCTGACAAAATAGCATTCACTTTTGCTAATTTCTTGCCACTATTATTATTATTTTCAGTTAAAGTTTGTTTCATTCTGCTATTTCAATGCAGCCTCTGATGGATAATCTGGAGGCTCAGACCTATGAAACGTTTGAGAAAGACTCAGTGAAATATATGCAGGTAAATGTGGTGTTTTTCCTTTAGAGATAATTTATTTAGTATCCTTTTTTTAGGGTGGGAATCTTCTTATCTTGTTGATTGGTGGCAGTATTTATTTTAATATTATTATCATATTTTATATTTTGCAATCTGAATGAAGGTGTGTTATGTTTTACTAGTATCAAAGGGCAATCTGTAAAGCCTTACTGGACAGGGTCTCCGATGCCGAAGCATCAACATTAACCACTGTAAGCTATCTGTTTATGACAAATCACATTTTTCTAATTTGCCTGTTTTATATAACTTCTGATCGTCTTGTTCTATTTTGGCTTTTCATGAATATGATGCTTACAAGATTTGCCATTCTTGATATTGGAGTGTTTCTTACTTGTGGCAAGGTTTTAATGGTTGTTGGAGCAGGACGAGGACCTCTTGTGAGGGCATCATTGCAGGTTTTTTCCTGTGTCTTTTGCTGAATGGGCGTGGTGATTGTTGCAACTTCTATTCTGATGTGCCTTTATATTCTGTTTGTTGGTTTGATAGGCAGCTGAGGAAACTGGACGCAAGCTTAAAGTTTATGCGGTGGAAAAAAATCCAAATGCTGTGGTCACACTCCATGTAAGTTGCTGAATCTATTTATTATGTTTCAAATTGTGACACTTTACAGTTGCAAAGATAATGCACTGATAATTTTGCAATCAATCTGCTGGCAGTGTATGAACCATTTGCATGCTTATGCACAGAGTTCTTCAGTTCACACTTTCTTATTTGCTTTTGTTTTGGATTGCCTGGGCAAGCTGATTTTATTAAGATTTCTCCACTCTTTATAAAGTCTGTTTCTTCAGATTCTTGTTCGTTGGATTTAGGATAAGATAGTTATATGTAAGAAAATGCCTTTATTATGATATTGTTGAACTGTAGAGGTAAATTAGATATATTGCCAATATTACAATGCATATCGATGTTTTGCTGTTAATGTGATTCGGTTGAATCCCCTATGATAAAATTTTGACACCGCAATTAATAACATCTTTGGTCTTTAGAACGTCAGTATGTTATGCAAGTATCACTCTCAATTTTAGACCAGTATTATTTTATGTGGTATATCTGAGGATTGCAGGATATGTGACTAGTAGGGATGAAATGGGTGTATGGGATAAAGCCTCAAAATGCTGTGTTCATCATTGAGTTTATCTTTCTCCCCCAAACCACCTGGGTGTATGGTAAATTTACCTCTTGTGCTAAAATATATTCCCTCCGTAGCAAATTTTGTTTTCCTCTGAAAATTTCAAGGATTAGGAAAGTTCATCAACTTCATGTGCATTAGATATTATATAATTTAACCCTTGAGTAGATGGAGTCATTCGCTGGTAAAAGCTTTTAAATTAAAGGTTGTGATTGGTAGTTTGGTAACACCCAGCCTTTGACTTTTGGTCATGGATAATTTTCTTTGGGAGTCCCAGGTTAGAAATGAGGACTGTTGTTATGCACTTTCCTGGCCCAAGTTTGTTGAACATTCTATTAGTTTTGCATTTTGAAAATGGGGTTGTATTTGTTTAAACAGAGTTTGGTTAAACTGGAAGGGTGGGAAAATGTTGTTACCATAGTTTCAAGTGATATGCGTCTTTGGAATGCTCCTGAAAAAGCTGACATCCTGGTATGTGAGTATTTACTAATTGTATTTTATTTTTCATTTTTTATTCTCTTAACTTATTTGCATTGTTTAACTTTGATATGTTGGTATCTAGGTCAGCGAATTGCTGGGATCTTTTGGTGATAATGAGCTGTCTCCTGAGTGTCTTGATGGAGCCCAATCATTTTTGAAGCAAGATGGAATCTCAATACCCTCATCGTATGTATATTCTTTTTTTATGAAGCAGTGGGTTAATATCATTTATCTTTCTTTGGAGGATTCAGCTGATTTCACTCTACGGAGATTGAACCCTCATCTGCATCAAAATCAATACCTGAAACTTTCGACCAATAATATCTGAGGTCTTCATATTGTTACTAACTGTCACTTGGCTTTCCTGACTTGGATTCTTAACAATTGGAAACTTTTGATTATATGACAAAATGCGTCTTTTTATTAGCTTACATATCAGCCATGTCATCAGCGAAGATTGCCAACAAACTAAGTAAATTTCAGTAACAATAACTGAAATATCTTATTCTCACTTTGATAAATAAGCTGTTGTTTTATACTAATTGAACCACTTAATTATGTTAAGTAAATAAATCATAAATGTGATAACCATAACAACAAACCATTGAAATCATTGATAGAGTGCTGGAAGGCTGATATGGTTATTTGGTTAGTTGCTATGAAACTCAAATCATTTATATTTCCTTTCATTTCTTCTTCTAGAAGAACTCTCTCTCTCTCTCTCTCTCTCTCTCTCTCCTCTCTCTCTATTTCAGTTAGATCAGAAATGTACTAATTCCTCATTTTACTGACGATACTTCTTACTTTACTTTCTTATGACAATGATCTTGAAAACTTCACTTGAAAAAAGAAGGGGATAAATAAAAAAAAATGGTTTAATTAGTAAGACTTTAGGTGTTTGTATTGAATGTGACCTCATATCCTAGTCTGCATTTGTTTAATGATTTTGGTTGTTTACTGTAAGGATGTTTGCTTGTGTTATACATTACAAAATTGAATGTGTATATTGCTATACATTTGGAGTTTGGTGACCTGAATAGGAATCTTGTTTGTTCACATTAAGTGATTGCTAGTTAATTTTACCTTGTTTCTTAGCCCTTTGAGTTGTTTAAGTTGCTGTTGATGTTATTGGCATGTCATCATTACATCAAGGCAAATTGATAAAGAAAAGGGAATGGCTGAATTTGTTCTGAAATTAAAATTGGGTGTCCTGATTGATAGAAATTAAAATTTGATGATCCAAGTTACTATTATATTGACAATTTCAATGATCATTGGTGTAAGTGATCTGAAATTTTCACATTTATATGTGGATACCCCTTACGGATTCTACATGGGCAAGTTTATGATGTTTTGGTTAAGGTTCTTCAGCTTTGGCTTTATGTTTTGATAATTGGCTTATCTATTTTCACCTAAATGGTCATTGGAACTTTATTCTTCTGATGGGAAAGACTACTAATCTTGTTTTCTTGTGTAAACATTGAAGGATATAGTGTTAATATACTTTTAGGGTTGTAAAATTAGGGATCCTTACGTGCATTATTCGATGATTAATATTTGTGAAAGGCTTATTTATCCAGTTTGTTCCTCGGATAGATCTATTATATCAGGCAATACTAAAGAAAATAATTGTCTTGATTGGTACATTAATATCTCACTTGTTTAGTTGAAAAGGAGTTTTCCCCATTGGGTTAGTGCCCTGTTATGAATTTCTGAAAGGGAAAATTCTCATGCAAATTGTATCTTTCGTTAGCCAAAAATTCAGCTAGATAATGCACTTAGGTATCTTTGTTTTGATCTTTGCAATGCTTTTTGTTATTTATTGTTATTATTATTTTGGCAAAAAAAGTTTTCAATTGTTTCTTCGTTAACTATAATTTATTTATAACAATTCAGTATTTCTTTATATTCCATCATCAAAAGGAGTAGTCATTTCTCAATTTCTAAGCAACAGTTTGTGAAAGTTAGCTTTCACTTATGATTTTAAACCCTATTGTTGAGTGGCCAGTCTGATGTCATGAAGTCATGGTAGCTGAAAATCTGAAATGCATCTTTTTGTGACATGCCTCTATCAGGTACACAAGTTTCATCCAACCAATAACTGCTTCGAAGATATATAATGATGTATGTCCTTGTGTCTATGCTTTGCTATTTTCTGGTTTGCTATTTTGAAGTTTTTTTCTTCAACTAATTTATTTTTCCATTTTGTGGTTTTCACAGGTCAAGTCACATAAAGATGTTGTCCACTTTGAAACTGCTTATGTTGTCAAACTGCATAGTATTGCCAAGCTTGCTCCTTCAAAATCCGTGGGTCTCTGCTTATATTAACTTGCATGCCTATGAAACACCGGAATTGTGTTATTTTTAACCTGTCTTTCTGTTTTTCTTTGTACAGGTTTTTACATTTAATCATCCAGATTATTCAACTAAGAAAAGCAACCAACGCTACAAAAAGCTTCAGTTTGTGATACCTCGAGACACTGGATCAGTCATGGTACATGGTGTGTAGTAATCAAGTTTATTTCTTTTTTTTTTAAATCAAGTCCATTTCATTTCCTTTGAAATTTTCTACAAAAATTTTATCACCCATAGATCATCATTTTTTGGAGTGTTCATGGAGTCTGGTTTACACTTAATGAGTTCGATCTCTGTCCATTTGTAGAATAATCTTGAAAGTAAGTGTAGAAAATAATAATACAGGATGAGAGCCTTGTATCTTGTTGTCTATGACTTCATGTTAAAAATGTGTATGTGCATTTTGATAATATTTCAGTTTGCCACAGATTTTCTATTTTATTCAATTTTCAGGTCAACAAATTAGGTTCACTGACATCCTTTTCAACTTAAGTGCTTAACTTTGATGAAAGTATAGAGATGTCAGATTTGAGGAATGGGTTTTACTTAAAATTTTATTTTAACATGGGAGATTATATGCTATAATTGGTAGTCCTTTTTGTACATTGTTGATGGATAGGAATGTCACAATGTCTAATGGAGCAGCATTTTACAGGGCGCTAAATCCTTCAACCATTACCTATAATAGCATTTTGGGATATAGCATTTAGAAAGGTAGTAGAATCATCAATAGACATGAGTAATTTATCTCATCCTATATCATTGGTAAATTTGTTTGAGTGGAGTTTAAACTCATTAGCCTCTCTCGATCTAAAAGTTGAATTGAGAAGAAAAGGTAGGATAGATAGTTGCATTGACGCTTTAGGATTCAGCGTTGGGCCTTGTACTATCTTGAAAACTCTGGGAGAAGGTAGGAGACCAATTACTTATACTAATGTTTCTCTCACTCATGATTACAAAATTGCATGCATGTTAATTTTACAGAAAACAGTTTTCTTGTATGATAATCGTAGTACATTTTCATGTGATAAATTTTAGACCTGACTATGTTTGCTAACCTGATTAAAGGATTTGCTGGCTATTTTGATGCAACGCTCTACAAAGATGTACATCTAGGTATTGAACCATCGATGGCCACACCAAATATGTTCAGCTGGTATGCAGTTTTATTCTTTTTTAATTCATGGGTCAAAGGTTCATAAGTTTGAAGCTTGTTTATCTTAGAAGAAATAAAGAGTCAGACATTTTCAAGTCATTTTATTAGTTAAAGGAAGTCAGCGCAAAATTCAGAAAATGGATTGACAAAATTTCATGCATCCATTGTTTGGTTTTTAACTGTATCTGATTTCTATCTTGTGAACATATTTAAATAAGTCCCACAAAAGAACTGAAAACGTGACTTTGGTGCTTGGTAATAATCTCAGCATAGACATAGGTAGGGAACATGAAGTATGAATTGACCTATAATAGAGAATCAGTTATTGTCATTGATTATGCGGAATGAGCAACTGGATGTCTGATTTTGCTCAGTGACCATGAGAACGGTAGTGGGGGTTCTTCCATTTACAGCTTTACCCAATTTTTTTGTTAAAGCTTTTCACTAAAGCTTCATAGTGGGGTAGCAAGGATGAGAAACTTTAGATTATTCAAAATTCAAACCAGTGAACTTATGCCTAGCACCTACACTGTGCTTATAAGCCTATTAAAATGTGGGATAACATATTCTATATCCAATTTTGTCAAAAAATATACTGCAAGTTCTTTCCTTATAACAACTCTTCCCCCAACAATAACAATTTTGGTTGGTGTTATCCAGGTTTCCAATATTTTTCCCACTAAGGCAACCATTATGTGTACAACCTGGTTCCCCTCTAGAAGTACATTTTTGGCGTTGTTGTGGTTCTTCCAAGGTGAGTCATTTTGTGTTATTGTTTATAATATATGAGTTTCCCTTTTATGTCAGATTTGTTATTTTCTAAAGCTGAGTTACTAGTTTGTTGTCAAATTAAAAGTTTAAAGTTAGTCTCTTTGATTGGGTGGGGGGGCACAATGCGATGCAGGTTTGGTATGAATGGTGTGTGACGTCTCCTTGGCCATCACCTATTCACAACAGCAATGGTCGTTCATACTGGGTGGGACTTTAGAACTATTTAGTTGTGTGGAGAGAGATGGAGCTTGTTTTCAGTTTCGTATTGCTGTGGCTGGTGGAGGGAAGATGTATTGCTTTGTAGCCGGTCAAAGCAGCAACCTTACCTTGAGCAAGTGGAAATTTCAGGTGTGATCCTAGATACCTAAGAGATAAGACATCTGTTCCGCCTGAACTAGATGTAAATTGAGAACGGTTATCAGTGAGAATTACATGGGGATCCTGTTTCAACTTTTTAGTGTAATGTGCTTGTGATGTTTTCTGAACATGATGGAATGACTTTGGCATTTGGGGGCACTGCTTTTTTAAAATTTTTTTCTCCCTTTGTTTCTTCCTATCTTCTCTCCACCACCACCCCCCCCCCCCCAAAAAAAAAAAAAAAAAAAGGTTTCCCATCTGTTTGGCTTTGTTTTGTACAACAGAATTCTGTTCACAAATTGCTCTGTATTGAGAGGTAGCATTTCTTTCATTTTTGTTGAGATGGCGTATTAAAATTGTCCTTTTACGTTTTCAGTGATGATTGGCTGCCTACGATGAAGCAGGTGTAGACAGTTTGCAATAAGTGACGGAAGCATATATAACTTATAATTATTATATTATTATAATACAATTAAGCAATTAAAATTTAATATTATGTTGGATTTATTAAAAATTTCTGTAAGATTTATATTTTAAAGTGATGAATTTTTGCATAATTATTTTTGTATGATTGATTAATTGTAAGATTATGATATAAATAATTGTAGGTGAAATGTTAACATCTTAGTTAGATTTAACTTCATATGTGTGTACTCATTTGTTTTATATTTGGAAAGTTAGAAAGAGTGGAATCTTCAAGTGGAATTGCTACTTCTCCCAGCGCCCCTATTTAGCACGGCTACATGCAGGCGTGTTCAACGGCTCCATTTGATCAGGGACTTGAGATTCGTTTGAGTATGAAGAAATTATCATTTAAAACAAATGTGAGAATCTTTTTTTTCTTTAGTTACCCCATGGGTAACACTATGGAAATAATCTTGTTCGATTAATCTATCCTTGCTTTCTTTTAAAAATGAATCATGAATTTTATATTAGTTGAATATTAAAGTTGATATTGAAATATAAGTATTCACGTTACTTTTAATTTATAAAGTATATTTTATGAAATAAAATCATGAGTTTTAATGAGTTTAAGCGAATAATATTTTTATAAATTAATGTGAACTATGATATTTGGTATCGAGCTGCCTTTGAGGTTATTACTAATGTATTACTGAAGATAATAGGTTTTCGTTGGAATGAAAAGGATGTTATAATTTTAGAGAAGAGTTATGAATCTCGTAATTTTATACTTGTGTTGATTTTGGAATATAAATATTCACATAATTTTCAATTCATGAGATGCCTTTCGTGATTCAAATCTAAAGTTCAATGGACTGAAAATGAATAATACTTAATGAGTTGATGTGATTGTGACACTTTATTTGTTATCAATAATTAAGTAGAAATAAGGACATCAAAGAAAAAAGACCTATAACATGATTAATACAAATACTAGCATATTAACATATTTGATCTTACAGAATAATACATTTGACAAAAATTTCAATTACAAGGATTTTTAGTTTGTTACAATTGGAAAGACCCAATATGTTTAAAAGGTGAGAAGTATTTTATTGATATAGTTTTGTATTAGACATAGATATGACAATAAAAATAATGATATAACATGATACGAAAATAATATAAAAAAATTACAATTTAAAATTTTATCTAAATTATATAGGTTTAATAAAATAAAAAAATATATTCTATATTTTTGTATTGATATAAATTATAATACACAAATTTCAAGTAAAACATTATATAAATACATAAATTATCAGTATTTCATATAACACGAATAAACAATTGTCATATCTGATTAGATGTAATGATTTGACAACTGTGTTTCAACTAAACACTTAAAAGAGGGAAAAAAACCTCTCAAAACCATTAAAAGTTAATCATAGAACCAGAAATTGTCATTGATTATGATAAAACAATAATTTTCATCGTCATTGATTTAACTTAAAAGAAAAAGAAAGAAGGAAGAACCATTAAAAGTATACAGAAAACAGTTAATAGGTCAAAGGTTTACTTTCCAATATAAATAAAAGAGCTAATTCACCGAAAAATTCAAGAGCATTTAATGAACCCATTTATTGTAATCTTGCGATAGCTGCTGAAGAAGCAAAGGAACAAGTCCATCCACTATCAGTATGTGTTGATAACTCTGTTGTACGAATATTGGCAATTCCATTGTATGAATATTCATGGAAGATGCAGTCAATGACAATGAAAATCCATCTCATTTACTACTAATTGCAGTTCATTTTAACAAAACTTGACAGGATTAAGTTTCTGTTTTGCCATACAACTTCAAAATAAAGATACTATTAGGTATGCCATCCATATTTGCTTCAAACATGACTTTGATACTAATTGTTAGGTCAAAAGTACTTAATCAATTAGATACTTGAGTAAACGAAAACATAATTAAAACATAAATTAACTACATTAGAGATAACAATCTAATATGGTCAATACTCTATTTGTCTATATCTACGGATGAGAGAAAATATTCACTAATTGTTGAGATTACAAGCACATTATCAACAATCAACCAATTACTCACAATTAATACTCATGAATTCTCTCATTCTCTTCTTATTTTCAACCTAAACGTTAAACAAACATTCACACATATCTATGGGCTATCTCAATTTCTTTGTCTTATGAGGTATTGATGCTAGCCATGCAAGAGTACCACAAATATATAGACCGCACAAGTAATATAGATGGAAAATATTTCAAGTTATCATCTCCTCAAGGATTGAGTTTCTAGCCTAGGGTAAATTACTAAAATTAGGCATCTAAGTAAAATTAGGCATCTAAGATATATTTGGTTCGTGGGAAAATTTTTGTTTAATTAAACTATATCAACAAAATTAAACCTACATTACCAACTAATTAAATCTAAAAATTATACTAAGAGAAATTCAACCTTAACTACTAACAAATTATTGAAATTCCTAAATTAACCCTAAAACTTATTAAAATTAGAAAGTTACATAAAATGAAAAGTTACTAAGAATGGAAAGTTTCTAAACCCAATGCAAAAAGGCTCTAAATCAAAGCATAAAAAGTCAAGAAAATAAAATGCAATTAGTAAACATGCACAACATGAAATTAGATTGAACAAAAATAAATAAAAATGTAATTTATCTTAATTGGTAAACTAAATCCTAAATGACATTAGATGTACGAACATAATTGCAAAGGGCATGGAAATAAAATCCTAAAATGAACTAGATGGTATTTGGCCTAATCTAAATTGCATATACACAAATGCCTGACATTATAAGCCTAAATGAACATATGAATTAAAATTAATAACAATTAAAACTCACTTAACTAAGTGCCAAATTAACGGTAAATAGAGTATAACCCTAATCTATGCATTTTATGCAAACAAAAACTAACATGAACCTAAATGGCATTAAACAAAATGACTTAAAATGCAAAACAACAATTAATCACACAAACAACTACATATAGTAGAGAATTTAACCACTAAACATGAATGATTAGCATACATGAACTAGAGGACAAACATACCTATAAACTTATAAAACAGGTAAAGGCATGATTTAAAAACTAAAATTAACAAGATTAAGGGCTGGAAACAGAACCTGAATAGCCATGAAAACTGAAAAATGCAACCTATAAAAATAAACAAGAAAAAATTATTTAATACATAGTAAACTAACTATCTTGAATAGATATCAACAATAACCAAATATGTAAGACATTATATAAGCAAGATTTAAATATGCAACTGACTCAAAATGCTAAATTTAAACATTTAAAACAGATCCGAAACAATATAATTAGACCGAAACATAAACAAGAGAGAATCATGTAAATAAGCTAAAATACACCTAAAGAACTATATGGAAATTGACTCAAACATGAGATCTAAGTATGAATGACATGAAAACAATTTAAACATAACTGGAAACTACTTGAAAATGCAGATTTAATATTTATAAAACAGCCTAGACAGAACAGAAACAGCCTTTCTACACAAGTAGAAAAATTAACTATTAAAATGTACCTCTGAGCTAAAATGTAAGGACAAATAACATGAGATCCAAGGAAACATTAAAACAAACATTATGAACTTAAAATAGACCTGAAATGAAACAAAAGACCTATAGTAAACAACCCCTAAAAACCGAACAAAACAAAGACAAACAGCGTTGAAAACACATCATGAAAACTGAGAGCGTGGACCTTTCGGCCTAAATGCTAGTATATAACTTAAGGTAAATGTGGGATACACTAAATCTAAAGACATGTCTTGAAAATAGACTTATAAACAAACCATATAAAAATGGCAGAAAATCAAAGGAAAAACCAAGCTGAAAATGGACTAGAGTAGAAACTGAAATTTGCTTGAAGTTTAAAGCAAACTAAAGCTTAAAGTTAAAATTTAAAGGAATGAAGGTTTAATACAAACAAAGTAAATTAGAAACATGAACATGGCTATTTAACAAGAAGAAAACAAAGCTAAAATGGAGCCCAAAGAAGCTCAACAAGGCTAGCAATGGCTGCTGTCAGCTGAGCCGCACCTAAGGCAGTGAAGAAAAACAAAGAAAATTACAAAAGGTGGCCTCCTTCTTTCAGCCCTATCTGTTCCATTTAAAGGTCAAAACTAGGTATTTTTTCCAGCCAATAAATGGCCTTCAATGATACAGCTCAGCCCTTGAAATCCTAGCTCAAACATGGACTGTTCTGGAGGTGAGAAAAAAACGAAAATGCTAATGCTCTCTTGTCCATGTCATTTCTCTTTCATGTGAGCTTCATGTGTGGTCCAATGGGAGGGTGCTAAGTAGCCATGTGTGAGGTGTGTTTACAGCCACTTAAGCTCAGCAAAGACCAATTTTTGAAGCTCTTCAAGCTCCTAAACCGTGGCTTTCTCAATTCTGGCATAGTGGGAATGATCATGCATTATAGCCCCCTTTTCATGCATATTACTTTTTATCCTCGTGCCCATTCCATTCAAACTCATTCCTTATTTGTATGCTTATGTGCCCTTTGGTTTTTGCGGCTAAAAGCCTTTCTAAAAACCCAAAAAGTCAAAAGCTACACAGTAGAAGAAATCTGGCAGCATTAGATATTAACTGGCAGTCCAAGATTGGCTCTTTCTTTACATGAAGTCAATGGTTCTTGTGTGGTAATCCAAGTGCACTGCCATCCAACGGGAGAGGAGCAAAATTCCAAGGCATCTCTACAGTTTTGGCCCCAAAATTTCCTCCAAAATCGTGACTTGCCATCCTTGGTAGAAAATGCATTCCCATTCATCTCACTCAAGCTTATGTTCAGCTTAGACACTTTAGGAAAGCGGCTTTGCATTGACTTTTGGTCCTGGTGGCTTTTCCACCT